GGGGAGGGGTCTTCATTTAACTCTCAATAGATTTTTACAGCACGAGTCTTACAGTAAATTTTACCAAGCACCTAGAGACTCCCCTCACAATAATCACCCTTAGTTCAATTTTTTGAGAATCATACTATCCCCTTGATACTTTCATGCTATGCGCTTTTTTTTTGTAGTTGTTATGGTTTCTGTATGGTCATGACTACTTTATGATCATAATGGCAAGAATGTTGCTCATATGCATGAGCTGAAGCCACTCTTTTGGGGTCTCTGATCAGGGTTTGATCCTTGATAGATCATATAGACTATATAGATTTTAAGTGGTTGGGATGATCATGGTGAGATTGAGGGTCCTTGCGAATATCTAACTAGTAATTCTTTGAGGAAAAAGAAAGAAACTAAGAGAAAATAAAAAAAGGGGAACATTCACAAGCATGCACAGATGAGTAACACATACAAGTAAAATTTCCCGCGACCAAAGTACCAAATGATTTCTGAATTGGACAATATATAGCAAAATAAATTCATGTAAAAGATCAGCATTTTCACCGGTGAAAGTTGTTTTTGGCAATTTAAAAGATCAATAGGTGATCAGAGTGAATGAGCAACCTGGTCAAGATCAGGAATGTTGCTTGTGGTTTGCACCTTTCCTAATCGTCTCATTACCTTATTGAGAACTTATGGTTATATAGCAGGGAGACGAGTCTATATTTCAGTCATTTGTTCAAAGTTGTGGCTCTCTGTACCCTTAAACTTGGTATATTTTCAAAAGTGTTTTCTCAAATGACCTTAATTTTTGATTCAGGTCATTGGCAAAGCATTGGTCCTTGATGAGATAATCAATTATATCCAATCCCTACAGCACCAGGTCGAGGTGTGTACCCTTCTTTTGATGATGGATTGCTGCAGTATTGTGTTTGAGATTGTTCGGCTTTTGTTCTTGGGATTGAATTATAAGATTCTGCTGGGTGTTGCAGTTCCTGTCAATGAAGCTTGAAGCAGTCAATACGAGGATGAACCCTAGCATTGAAGCATTTCCTTTAAAGGATGTAAGTTTGAAATGTTAAATTTTTATTAGAAAACATCTATATTTGCAAAAGGTTTGTTTCTCACTTGGACCATCAGCTCCAAACTTTATTTCCTTATTACCTCTTCTTTTGACGATGGTCAAAGAGGCTGATATTCATCAATGTTTAAGGTGATAATAAGTGAGCTGGATGACAGATTCAGTTATCCAGTATTGGGGCCTATCAGATGTCTGGCTTCGTATAATGTTTGTTGAGGGTACCATTAGCTTTTAGCAACTACATCCACACTATTGTGTACATTATCCCATCATGCAGGTGTTGTTTTGTGTTTAGATTTGACTTGAATATTTTCACAATTAGCTTTGCAGTCATTACAGGAGTCTCTTTATTTTCCTCCGATGAGAATAATTTCATGAAGGCATATTTGAAGCATAAACTATGCTTAAAGTTTGCGTTCTCTTACGATTAAACATGTCATAGTACGAAACCATAATTTTATAGATGAACTAAATGTCCTGTTGATGTCGCATAATGGATAAGACTCTACATTTTTCATAGAAAGGGTGGGGGTGGAACCTAGCCTTTTTTACTACGAACAGTAATGGAAAGGGAGATGTAAGGAAACAGACAGATAGATGGTGGAGGCTTCCTTCTCCCCCCCCTCCTCCTTTTTCATTCATTCTTTCTTTCTTGTGCCCCTGATTTTGATTTCTGCGTAAATATTGTGAAAACTCAATTTGATGTTTCAGTTTGGTCAACAAGCATTTGATACAGCAAGCATGCCATTTGGTTCACAAGCTACAAGGGAATACGGCAGGGCTTCATCACCTGACTGGTTGCATATGCAGATTGGTGGTGGTTTTGAGAAAACAAAATAACGTCAGTACTCATCAACTGGTAATAATAGCATAAAAGGTCATGCTTCCTTCTTCTGTAACTGCCCGAAAATATAGCCATTTCTCGGATCAAAAAGAGACTATTATGATTTTCTGCGTCAAGCATGGGGCTGGCTGTGGTTTCTGCCTTTAAGACTGTTGTGATAGAAAACAAATTAAATTATCTCCATACATCTTGTAGCCATGTTTCTGTCCTCAATCTAGTACGCAAAAAGAGTTTGTAGAACGAATGCTGATCTTCCGAGATTGTTCAGAAACTGTAAAGCTTCCATAATTTGTGTCAAAGTTGATTTAACATGCGGTGTATTAGAACTCTGAAGGTACATTCAATAAATTGTAAACCAGTTTACTGCTTTCTTTTGAAGTTGAAGACTCTAAATGTTGATATATTTCGTGCAGAATGTGTACGCATAGACATACATGATTTACTTACTTAATCTCCATTACGAATCTTTTGTTTACCTTGGTGTTTCTAGCAGTCCACTCATTTTCGTCCAATCTCCTGTTATGGTAATACATGTATTCAGAATTTGACCCATTTTCTCATTGTGTGAAGGTTACAGAATAAAATAAATCATATCGAATAAACAGATGAAGAAACTGGCTCAAATTTTCTCAGTAATGGCCCGGCTGGAGGAGATATACTGAGGGCCTGTTCGCCATTGCCTGACTGTGTCTCCTCCTCTTAAACCGTTAGATTTGGTAGTGTCTCGGAAGTCAAGGTCCGTTTGGCAGTGCTTAATATAGATTGAAGGGCAATAAGTTTTTTTTTTAATCACATTATTGTGAAAAAAATACAGCATCAGACTTAATCCAAGGACTATGAGCCAATGATACAAAAATAGTAGTTGTCTACTGTACTAAAAAAAAAAATCGGTACCATATTGATTTTTATCACTGTTGTGGTACCTGTTTTTACCATTTTTATTTTTATAGTACGTAGGATTAATCTTAAAACAATTACCACAAAAATAATAAAATAGTTATCACAATAATAAAAAAAATACTCACAAAATTTGTAAATTATCCATAATAATGATAAAAAAATNTCACAATAATAAAAAAAATACTCACAAAATTTGTAAATTATCCATAATAATGATAAAATTTTNATAAAATAGTTATCACAATAATAAAAAAAATACTCACAAAATTTGTAAATTATCCATAATAATGATAAAAAAATTTTGGTAAAAAATAACTTATAAAAATATCAATTAAAACAATAAAATTTGAAGGTATATTAGCATAGTCAAGTTCCCTACAAAAATATGCAAAGAAGAGAAAGCTTGTAGAAGAATTGTGCATGTGAAATGACCACATTGGGCCTAAAACGATGCTTATATCGTGAGATGCAAGGAGAGTGATTAGACATGAAAGGTGCATGCTTTTTTGTACCTCGAAATTTATTGGTTTCCCATGTTTCAGAATCAGAACTTGGGTATCTTTGTGTGTGTGTGTGTGCATGTTCAGTTATTCCGGCTGCTTATTACAAAAATCATATCGAATTTAAGGGGACAACCCACAAAGTTGTCATGTACGAATCCATAAAGGAGATAAGATTTTATGTAAGATATGCAAATACAGGGCCATGCCAACTGGTTTGATTCTTTGAAGATTAGGCTTCCTTCCTTCATGGATTAACATTATGAGCCGTGTTCATCTGACTCAACGTTACTAGAATTGGAAGTCAATTTGATATGTGATATAGTTATAAAAACACCATACAATATTTTTTGGTACTGCATAGACTTCATTGATATGATATCTTGAATCGCAATTAGTTCTAAAATCACTTTCGATCCATAAATATAGAGTTGATTGCTATTAGCACTCATTTCCTATTATAAAAAAAATAAAATATATAATTACCCTTTTTGAAAAAATTATATATAATACACATTCATACGAATACTATTTATTTTATATTTGTGATACATGTTTCAAAAGTGAATTAATTTGGGGTTATTATTGTAATTTAGGATTGGACATTCCACTCTATTTAAAATCGTTGTACTTAGGTCATGGGTCATCAAAAATTGCTTGTACTACAAGTGTAAAGAGCATGTGATCAATTGAAACAATTCTCGATTATAAATTTAAAATAACACGAGATGACTTGATTGTTGATCCGAATGTTGAGAAAACAAGTGAGAGATGGGATTTATATGGAAGCAAGGTGATAACTAGTGGCATACAGGCATGGAATTACTAAGTTATAGTTAAACTTCCAAATGAAGCTATTACTACAGTGAGTAGCATTTGATTCTTCAAATCACAACTTTTTTTAATGTTTGTGTGGTAAAGATTCAAATGGTGTGGCCCTACCAAATATGCGATATGCTCTAGTCCAATATTAGGAGTAACTAAGGTGTGCTATATTCCCCCAATCAAATGCCACTGTTCCAAGGAACCAGCTTCCCTCAAGGGAAATTCTAGTTTATTGGCATCCATATTTACTATTGAATAATGTTATTGAGATCTAAAAATCGTAATTTTTAGGTATGGTCTAGTGATAAACTCTGTCTTTTTGTAAGCAGGATGTCTCAAGTTTGATACTTCTTATACCTCCTAAGGTCATCCACCTTTGTTTTTCAGGAGACATATCCTTAAACTAATTTGAGTTATGGTGACTAGTCTTAGAACTTGAGGGAGTAGTTGGCGCAAACCTGAATATCCTATAAAAAAAAAAAGGAACCTAAAAATTTGATATATTNTTAGGTGTGGTCTAGTGATAAACTCTGTCTTTTTGTAAGCAGGATGTCTCAAGTTTGATACTTCTTATACCTCCTAAGGTCATCCACCTTTGTTTTTCAGGAGACATATCCTTAAACTAATTTGAGTTATGGTGACTAGTCTTAGAACTCAAGGGAGTAGTTGGAGCAAACCTAAATATCCTTTAAAAAAAAAATGAACCTAAAAATTTAATATAATCTACGACCCAATGATGTAGTATTGACATGGTCTAATACAACTATTATAGCTCTAACTATTGGGTTTCATCATTCGGACTTTATCACTTAACCCATTATTAGAACATCTCTAATCCTTATCCTTTTTTAAACTCAAATTTAAAAAAGAGCAAACAACTCTTGAAAACTTTCTCTTATACTAGATCCATACTAATTGTCATAATATTTTATATTCTTTTAAATTTGAGTTTCTTCGACGAAGAAGTCTATATCAAATCAAGTTTTTCACTTTTTTTTTTACTCAAATTTGAGTAATGTTTTAAATTTCTCTTGAAGATAGTCTTAAATCAACAAATTAAATTCATATTATAAATCCAAATAACATTATTCTTTGCTACATTTCCTTCTATACTCCATTCCAAAAGGGTATAGAGAAAAAGACTTGTGGTTCTTTTAAAATTAGCAGCCTCCAATGTGTGTGGACCATAGTAGCAGGAATTGTAAAGTAGAAAAGGGCTGGATGCGGGTGTTTACCAAGTATAAATGATTTATTTTTGTTGGTATCTTATCAAAAATCACAATCAAATCTAAGTCAAATTATAATCTAGACAGATGAAGATATATATATATATATATATTTCCTAAGCTTATGGATTGCCAAGAAACAAAAAAGATACTATCAGATAAATCTTTTTTATTTAATTCCGCAACAACTTATATAATATTATTTAAAAAATTTAAAAAAATTCTTATTTTTTGTTTATAATATTTGTTAAATACTCATTTTTTATCTGCACTACCAGTTAATTTTGTTATTCGTATTAAATTTTAATTTAATCTATTTATTACTTGGGTTAACTAAGCGTTTGATTTTTGAGTTTTGTATCGGATCGAGTTCGTGTTAATGGATAAAATTAGTATCCCAAATCAAACTCAATAAACTCGAGATTGTAGTTGTCTTAGAGACAACAGCACACTGTTGGGCTGTTTATGCAGGCTAAATTTTGTGTTTTTTAGCCATAAATTGTTTCCTTAGAAAAGATGTAATCTCGTTGTAATCTAACACAACAAATATACCTAAGAATCTAGTTTTCGTTTTACTGTACGTAAGGAATTATAGTAACGTACGTTGGTCTCGTAGGTGCATGAAAATACACAATTCAAAGCAAAAGCAGATCGTCGTATTGGACTTTATAAAGCAAACTCTCCTCTCTCTCTCTCTCTCTCTCTCTCTCTCTCTGGGTTCGAGAAAAGAGTAACAGGGTCACTACAATCTATAAAGAAAACCAATCACTCTTAACCCTTGAAGTGAAGAACTGGCCAAAGAGAAAAAAATATTCTACCCTTAACCCACCATCACTTCTCTTCCCTCTTGTCTCTCCGTCTTGCCTCCCTTTTCTTGGAGACCCACAACCATTATCTACTTGTTCTGATTTCTTCAACCATCTAATTTCTATAAGCACAAGCCTTTTGTTCTTTTGAGGAAAAAATTGTAGAGAGTGTGAAAAAGAGATATGGGTTGTAATGGTAGGTCTTTTAAGGCCTTGTTTGGGGTACTACTTGCATTGCTTGGATTCATTTGGTTCTTCTTAGTTGGATTTACAGAAGCAACGGCAATCCTAATCCCGCGGCCGGCCGGAAGTTTCAAACATATAACGGAGAGAGGAGGGAAGAAGTCTGGTGTTCATCAAGTGACAGATCTCAACTACATGAGTAAAAGAAAGGTTCCTAATGGACCTGACCCCATTCACAACAGGTATATATATGCACAAGTCTTTGTAGTTTATGTATTGTGTTGGTAATAGTGATAGGCTCAAAAGTCATATGGACAGTGCAAATGAAAAACAATCTCACTCGTGAACGTAGATAGAAATTCTACTTAACTACGTAAATTCTCGTATTTGTTCTTGATTTTCTTACTTAGTTTGATTCTTTACCACACTTACACTGCTCACAACACGTATGCATCAAACACGTGTGTTTGTGCTGTTAATATCACGTTTTTGATACTCTCATAATGGAGAGAATTATCGAAAAAAGAGCGAACTAAAAACCCAATAAAAAAAATAAATCGCTCAATTATGCACTTTGCTTGAAAGAAAACAAAGTCTTTGATCATAATTATCAAAGTCCTTTTCAAATTGAAGGATTGCTCTATAGCTTTCCTTTGTTATCTTATACAAATCAAGCCTAATCGTTAACCTACCTAATCCTTATCGTTTGCCTTCGATCAAGGGATAGTCTCCTTCAACCTAACATGCAGTTCTTCTTTCTGTTTGTTTTTTCTTTCTAATTTGTTAAATTTAGATATTAGGGTTGGCATGAACAATGCTATTGAAACTTATCTTATTGACCTAATTTACTATAACAATTAGATTGACTGTGGATCTTATTAAACATTGAAACTTTGTTTTAATCTAACAGTTACAATAAAATCGCATTATTAGGTCAACAAAATATGTTAAATTTTTAGATTCCAATAACATTACTAAATCTATAATACTGCAAGTACTTTTAGATCAAGTACTTGTTCAAGCTCTCTCAAGGTTCCTTTTTAAATTGTTTGCAAGTACCACCACTTAATCACAAACAAAAGTAAAAGAAAGAATAATGCATGTCTCTCCACTTTATTCCATCAATAATTATGTGTTATTAAAGCTATATAACATTTCATTTGTTCTCTACGTTTATGAAGCCTTTAACCTTTTTATGTTGCCTTTCTTTTTCATCTCTCTTTCTTCTTCTAGTACACATAAGGAAATACATATATATTTTGAATATTTTTTACTCAGCATTATATTGTAGATTCAAAAGCTTAAGAAAACCGATAATCCTAAGTCCAAGCACCAACTTAGAGTAGATGTGAACTTATCAATTAACCTAAATCTCTTGTCGCAACCGTTTCAAAATTTCAATTCAATTTTTTTTTTAACAAACACACACAAGGGGTAGTTTTTCTTGTTATCACCACACATATAAGCATCTTAATTATCATAGTGAGATTCCCTCCAATGCACATTTTCTTGTGATTTTGTACATTAGTGTTTAATCATCGTTTTTTTTTAAAAAAAATTATATATACCTGATTCTTATGACTAACTCAATAATTAATATTATGGTAATTACTTTTTTTTTTAATCAAGAATTCTACTACATAAAACAAATTATCTGAATAGAGGTTGATTTTTGGTGAATCTTATTGTCAAATCACTTTGCTTTTTGAGTAGGAGAGCTGGAAACTCTGGACGACCACCTGGTCAAGCTTAGGAAGGCTGCACCAGAGCCTAAGAAGATTCACCAACTTTACTGTTGCGCCAAAACTTGCAGTTACAGGAGTCTCGTACATTGAACGATTGTGTATGTATTTATAAAAACTGGGAGTTCAAATATTTTTAGTCTTTTACCAACTTTAAAGGAATTCAACCTTGCAGTTATTCTAACCTACAAAATTTGTTTAGGAGTATTGGAGAGTTAAAAAAGAAGAGTAATGTTATTGATAGTTACAAAATTGATCTAATTTGTTGGCTTAATGTCGTAATTGTAACATGATCCAATAGAATTATTGTGACGGTAAGTGTTGAACTTATTGATTAGAGATTGTATCACTTAACACTTCATTAGATTAACCAATTCAAATAATTTTTAGTTTTAAACAACATTACTCAAAAAACAAAGTTTCTTTCGATCTCGTTGTTGTGAATGATTAAGTCAGTAAATTAGGTTTAAATAATATTATTGTTTCTTTTATTTCTATTTGTCCTTGTTTGAAAAGATGATATTGAGCCTGTTTGTTTGAAGGTGATTTTTCTTGGGTGCAAAACAGAATTTTGAAAAATAAAATAAAAAAGTCAGAGTTAAAAAAGTTATCGGAACCATTTGAAGAGTTTTTGAAAAAAAAAATCGAAAAGCCTCTTGGAAGCAGTGATCTCATCACAGCTATTTCAATGAATACAACAGGAAATTTGTAGAGGTCAAAATTTAATGCCAACAACCCCAAAGAAATAGAAATCCACAAAAAATTAACGGACTTAACACAATTAATTGAACTACCTTCCATTCAAAACATCAGGTGCAAGAATACCAAATCGACCTATGAATTCATCAAATGTTTTCCTAGTGGGATATCCAGCACAACTTATCCTAATTGCCTCCATGACTCCCTAGAATGACAAAATTATCAAATTCCCAACGCATCCACAGGCAACTAATTGGTAACACAACAAACTTGAAATGATCTAAGTGCTAAACTCACCCCACATCGAAGCTGATTCAGTACATTCTGACTCTCAAATATACCTGGCTTCAGAGAATTATTTGGCTTTACACAACCAATGTAATGTGGCTCTGAGGAACTAAGTGTCTCAAGCAACACTTGTAGTTGTTGCTGAACAAAGAACATGACAGCAATTTCTATGAAAAGTGTAAAACAAATCGACATATACATCAACCAAACATAATCCAACAGAGACGGACCTTAAAACGAGAAGCTATTGATGAGAACTTTGACGTTTTAGAAGATTCTTCAGGCAAGGGTGGGAACAAGCCTGACACAAAGGAGCAAATTGAAGCACTCAGGAGTGCTTCATGCTCTGCTACAACATAGTCTTTGTTCTTATCCAGAAAGAAATCAGTTTGGTAAGTGACCTGAAATCAGAATTCTCTTGGTAAAGTAAGCCTTAGGGGCGTAGCAGTTGTTTGCCTTGATCTTGCTAAATGTGAATTTTTAGAATCTCATACTACTGCTTCAATGAAGATGAACAACAGATACATACATCACCAGCATAATGGCAAATGGTGAAGTCAGTCTGTGACAATTTAGGCTTGCTGAAGCGTTTATGATCTTTAAACGTCTGGTATAGCTTTTGTGAAAAAATTCGAATTTTCTTTGGAAGTCCTTAGATAAGCTCCATTTTTCAAATTTTCCTTCGTGTTGAGAAAATTTATTTTTGCCTAAAAAATTGATAAAAAAATCTGCCCATAAACCAGCGTCCAAACGGACCAAGTTTCTTTTTCTTTTAACTCAAACAAATTGAGATTTTAACCCAACTTCAAACAAGTTTATATAATCAACTCGCAATCCTGGTAAAATGATAAGGTTACATCAGGTTGTTTTATGACAAATTAGCATAAAACTTGTGGGATCTCTAAACGAAGATGAATGGTTTTGTTTGAAGTGATGGGTTGTGTTCTAAAACAAAAGGAAAACCACCAACTAAAGGTGTTTTGCACCTGGACAAGAGAAGGGCACTGGCATGATCGATCTTCTGTTGGTCTTTTTCAGTGGATTCTTTGGTGGGGGTGGTGACTGTGAGAGTCCTGTTTTGGTCTTTAGTCCCATTCAAACTTGTAAAAAGCTTGTTAGATTCTCTAGTCTGGTGGCACTCAGAAAATAAATAAATTCAATATAAAAGCAAGTAAAAAAAAATGGTCCTCTTCTGAGATCTCTCATCAAAGTGAAGAACAAAATAGGCTCTCTCTCTCTCTCTCTCTCTCTCTCTCTCGGAGTGTGAGCTTAGAAGCCAAGACTTAGTCTAAAGTTTGTGAGATTCAAATTGGGACAACTTCCGAAAAGGGAAAATGAGAGAACTTTATTGCATGGAAGATGGTGTGAAAGGAACACTACAAAAAATAGCAACTTTAGTGGCAAGAAAAGTTGTCACTAAAACTCTTAAATTTGTTACAAAAGTAGTTAGCGGTAAAAAAAAAAATTGCCACCAGGTTGTCACTATAGATGTGTCACTAAAAGTTAATAATGACAAGCTACATAAATTGTAACAAATGATCTAGATCTTTAGTGACGATTATGTATCATCACTAAATCACTCTTAATAGTGACAAAATTTGTCGCCACTAATATTTTAAACTTTCATTACTAAAAAGTTTATTTCCGTCGCTTAAAAACTACTTTCAACCCAAAAAATAAAAATTAGTGTCAAAATATATTAACACTAATTAGTATCCATCAATCATTAGTGACAGATTATTTTGTTGTCACTAATATGTTTAGTGACAATTTCAAACTTTCGTCCCTAATTATGATAAAATTTTATTGCCACTAAATTATCGGTGGTAGTGACAATATTTTGATTGTCACTAACAATTTTTACTTACTTTTAATGGCTAACTTTATAATCGTCGCTAAAGACTTGTTCAATGACAATATTTTTTTATTGTCACTATAAAATTTCAAAGTACTTTTTGTGATACATTTTGTAACAGTCACTAAAAAACTCAACAGTGACGACTTTAGTGGTTGTCACTCACATAATAATTCGTAACAGTTGTCATAAACCCTGTATAAAATTGACCTGTAATTAAAATATTATAATATTTCAATATCATTCGAAACAAATCAAAATTCAATCATAGTTTAATTATAAAATAAAAAAACTTATGGAATTATCATAAAATTTTAAACAATCCAACGAATACTTCAAAAAAAAAAATAGCAATAAAAAAAAGTTTTTCTGAAGCAACAAAATAAAAAATTAATAATAAACTGTTGGTCTTTATTCCTTCCATAACCATGAGAAGATCTAAAGCAAACTTCATGATGAATAAAAAATATACGCAGGGCTTTCAGATTAATCCTGGTCCTTTGAACAAGATCTTCTATTCTCATAAAGATGTCGCAAAGATAACCACCCTGACAAAAATTAAACAACATAATATATGTCACAACTCTTTAATTTTAAATCACATAAAATAGTAAAAGCTTGGGCAAAAATGTCATCATAAAAATATTGGCTTGGTAATGTCTAAATCTTATTTTCAAACTTTTTTTCACTCTATGCAACACAAGAAACAAAACTTCAACACTTATCATCAAAGGTTTAGACTAAGTGGTAATCAACCAAATGGTCCTTCTAATTTCTGATAACAATGTTTTGCAGTTTGCACTCTTACAAAATGTATTGTAGCACTTTTAGCATTATTAAGGGAGGTTTAACACCAAAGACTATAGATGATCATCATTAAAGAACACACAATTTCTACTATATGTCATGAGACTCATTACATCAACTACTTCTCATTGTCCACAAGCACAACAATACTTATATGATTAAAAGAAAAAAGAATAAATCACCAAAAAGTATGAATCCTATGAAAAAAGACCATCATGCTTAGCAAACATAAATGTTTTGCTTCAAATGATTGCATCAAATAAATAAAAGATAATCTTGCAAATATGGTAATGGACTGAATATCTAATCAATAATAGTTAACTCAAACTTTAAGTCATAAAATTCAACTGTCATATTATTGCCTTATTATCAAATATTAACAACCATGACAAACTAATTTAATGGATCTATGTTGTCATCGAGTGTATAGTCAATCACAATAACAATCTCTAATTAATTTATAAAAACATCATAATATCAGCGAGAATACTACACAATTTCTTCCATAAAGCCCCAAGCCATTTCATAATTGCAAGTAGAATAAAAAATTAAGAACCTGTTCATAAGTTCTAATACTTCAAATGGAATTATTGTACACCCTCAAATTTATCCTACAAAAGTAAAAATGAGAACACTTACCTAAATTGCAATCACCCTGGTTGAGCTTCATACTGCTTCCATCTATCATGCAATAAAATAAAGTTTATGACACCTTCAAAAAAAGGAAAAAAAATCAAAACTAAACTTTCATTAATCAAGTATTCCACCTACCATGAAAGAGGGTCAAGCGCAGGGGCAATGGCATGGGCAGACATGTGCCTCTCATTCTGCATCTGCTTCATCAATGCTTGCAAAATCTCATTTGTTGCATTTTGGGTTGCCCCTTGCATTTGCTCCATCAGTGCTTGTAAAATCTCATTTGTTGCCTTTTGGGTAGCCTTAATCACTTCCATGTCTTTTTGTTGAGCATTGAGTTTTTCTTCCAACTCATTGGCCCTTTTGTTAGCTGCCTCCAACTCTGATTTATCATGGTGCTTAGATAAGGATCGATTAGGCTTCGGACCATGCCCACGGCCACGTATGTACCCTGACTTGTGTCCAAGAACCTCTGAGCAAATTTCCTCCTCACAAACTGGTGCTTCATTCTCTCCTACAGGGTGCGACTGAAGCTCCACCATTTGCTCCTAAAGTGGCAAGGCATATAAATTTTAAATTACATTAGTTCAATTAATATGATGATAAACAAAAATTTTAACCGAATTAATAACTTACATAGTTATGATGTGCACGGTCATTTACCCAAGAATGTTTCTTATTACTATAATGAGTTATCCTATATAACTCAATTGGCCCAAGCACTTCACCAGTTTGAGCAGTCTACATCAATTCAAATATGTGAATTAGTTTTTGAAGCATATCACTACGCATATGATACACTCTATAACTAAGATTTATGTTGCTACCATTTCAACACCCATCCGGGCAAAAGACTTTGTCCCAATTACATGGGGTGTGTTTTGCATTGCCCGATTCCTTGCATTTTGAGCACTTCTTTTCTACATTAAAATAG